CTTTTTAAAGTTTATTTTAAGAGAGAGCACGTGCATGCACATGCACGCATAAGCAGGGCAGGGGTGGAGGTGGGGGGGGGGACAGATAGAGAGGGAGGGAGAGAGAATGAATCCCAAGCAGGCTCCGCACTGCCAGCTCAGAGCCCAATGCAGGGCTCGATCTCACGACTGTGAGATCATGACCTGAGCCGAAATCAAGAGTCAGACACTCAACCAACTGAGTGCCCATCTAATGTGTTTTATCTACTTTTAAAAATGATTATCTCACTTCTACCCCCATGATCTTTGTGTAGACATAAAGTAACAGAGTAGCAGTCAAATGTTGATTAATTCTAAAGCTTTTCTGAAGCTTACTCCTGAAACACATTGGCAGACTTATTTTCTGCTTTAGAAGATAGGTAATATGGAAGCTAGACATCTGGGTAATATTTTTTTCCTTTAGTGGTAAAACTGCTTTATGTCATCTCAAGATTGGACCTGAGATTTCCTTTTTAGATATGAATATTAAACAGTAAAATTAGGTGATTCGCTTATTCCTTGACAATTATTTTCAAGATAATAGAAATAGCAAACACTTCATTGAACACTTACTGTTTGCTGGGTGCTGTACTGAATGCTTTGGCATGCGTTGTCTTCTTTTGTTCTCACGACAGCTCTAAGTGGTATTATTTTTGCCCTGAATTTTTCAGAGAAAGCAACGGGTTTTGAGAAGGTAAATAATTTGCCTAAAGTCATGTTAGTAGACGGAGAAGTATGTGGGTATGTTCATAAGCAACTATGTTGTACTATTTTATGTGTGTGTCATTTTTACAGAGGTGGTATCGTACTATATGAGTCACTCTCTGACTTGTTTTTTAAATTCAACGGTCAGATTTGAAGGTCTGTAGCTTCTGCTACTATGTATAGATGTCTGGTCAGTTTGTTCACCTCGTGAATATCTACAATTTTTCTATTTGATTTAGCTGCTGAGAAAAGCTTGTCCTGAATTTCACCTAGTTTTAGCTTTACTTCCCTTTTCCACTAGAGGGTGTGCTAAGTGTTTGACTTAATTTTTTTTTTCTGTTACCAAAATTATAAGTAGTAATGGAGTAACTTGCTACTTCTTGGTATAATCAGAAAGAAAATTTTATCTCCTAGAACTGGTGTAATAGTCTCCTTGTTTTATTTTTATCCTGCAGGTTACTCATTTTTGGATCCTATGACAGAGAGGCAAATATTCACTGTACGCTTGAGTTGAGCAGTGGTGTTTGGGAAGAAAAACAGAGGAGTTCGATTAAGACGGTAAAGTGAATTTGCGTAGTTTTACATCTTCATAAAGTTTGTGTTTTCTAAGTATGCTTTTAATAATGTTTCTCTGTCCCTAGAGTTATTTTTGGTTATGTGCAAATAAGTATGAACAGCTCGTATTTGTCTTGTTGCAATACACATCGGTGATAAAATGAATCACATAAAACTATAGTACTCAGATCACTTGCTCGCATAAGAAACCTAGGCTGATTTTAATTCTAGAACTTTCAAATTGTTTCACAGGGATGGAATTAGAATAATTCTAAGCCTCTTAGCAGTGAATTTAGAGCATTCTTTCATTCAATAGATGCTCTATGAATGCTTACTTTCTACTAGGCACTGTGTACTGAGGAAACAGTTCAAATTAAGAAAAGACCCTGTTTTGTGGTGCTAATATGGAGTAGAGGTTTGGCAGGATGGTTAGAAGAGGGGAGAGGTGAACTACGTGTTTAGGATGGAGGTAGAAATGACAATAAATGGGTAGACCGAAGACATGAACAAGGTAATTTCCAGAGATGGACAGATACTATGAAGAAAATGGGGTTGTGACAAAGGAGATTCTTTAGGGAAAACCTCTAAAAAGATGACACTGACACAGGATGTTCATCCATTCAGATAGAATTTCAGATAAACAGTGAATAATTTTTGTTGTTGTTAAAAGTATTCCCCCAGTTTTTGTATGCTAAATCTGACAACCCGACACTGGAGATGGGGCCCGAATCATGAAGAGGAGCAAGCCACGTGGAGTTTGGGGGTTGAGGGAGTGGAAGGCATTTCCAGCAAAGGGAACAGCCAGTGTGTGAAGGCAGGTGGGACACGCTTGGTGTGTGTGAGGACAGAAGCCAGTGTCTCTGGAGCGTGGTACGTGAGGTAAAGAGTCATGCGTCATCTTGTAAGGAGTTTGAATTTCATTGTTTGTGGTGGGAGAGTTTTCAGATGACAAGTGACGTGATCTTGTGTACATTTTGTACAAAATGTTCTGCTTGTGTAGACCAAGGATTGGAGGAGGATAAGAGTGCACCTAAAGAGAGATCCGTTCGGAGGTGTTTAGGGAAGTGATGTTTACTTTAACCAGGTGGTAGCTGAGGAGATAGAAGAGAGTGGGTTTGATATACTTCTGGTGTATGAAGGACTTAGAGTTCTGGTTTGTTTTTTTATTAAAAAAAAAAGTAACCTAAATTGCAAGACTGAGAAGGCTTTTAAAATATTTTAAATGTTAGAATTAAAGATAAACAAAAATAGTGCTTTACTCTCAACACGTTTTAATTGGACGTGTTAGATTCTTTGGGTTCTTAAATGAATAAAAATTGTCACTAGTTATTGGTTAATTTGTTTCTAAAATGAGTTGGTATTTTCTGATATTCTGAATAGCAGTTTTAATAGCAATTATTATGTGCTGCTTGCAATTTGCATAAATCTAGTCTATTAAAGATTTAGAGCATTTATCAAAATGTTGTCTACAGAATTTCTTTATTAAGCCCCTGAAGTTACACAATGGAAACAGAATTCCAGAATGGTACGGCTGTAATCGGGGCAGGGTTGTTGGGGCGGGCGAGTCTCTTCCCTAAGGGAACCACAGCCTTTATTTATTTACTTATTTTAAGCAGTTTATTTAATTTACTAAGCATATATTGAAATATTATGGGCTTGGTAATAATAAAATTCCAAGAGTGCTGCTTGAAACCCCAAACCTCTCTGGAATTACTTTTAGTGTTTTGAAAGCCAAGATCCATTTAGCACATCAATAGTTTTTTGCAGGAATAAATTATAGTTCTGTTCTTTAAAGGTGTGCTTATATATTTAGTTGTTTCTATTAACTTTAACTCTTGGTGGCAATATAGACAATCCTGTGATTATTTTTTGTAGCCAGTATTTGGGAAAACTATTTCTCTACTACGTCTTCATTATGGTGAAGAAATACTTTTGAACTATGCTACCTAACTTTTATAATAGTAGTAATGGGTTTTGGTTTTCCTAGAATAATGTTATTCTTTGTAGCATTTTAAAAAATAGTCACAGTTCTCAATTTTTTAAATAGATCTATAAGAATATTTTCATGCTCTTGAAGAATGCGACTTTTAGTGGTAATGTGATATTCTTTGGACGTTCTTTTGACCTTAAGTTGTTTCTCATTTCTTTCTGTAATAACTGTTGTGAGTGTCCTTACATAAAAATTGAGTAGTATGAAATCCTTTTGGAATAACTAGAGTGATTTTGGTCAGGGTGGGAAGATAGGGAGGAGTAAATCGGGAAGAGGAGGATGGGCCACAGAGTGTGAATTTATGAAAGTGGTAGGGAGCTATTGAAGATTCTGAGCCTGGGAATTACATGGTCAAAATAGTGGTTTTGAAGAAAGTCTCCCATTTCTTTGATGGTTGTTCATACCCTCGCTTTCTTCTAAGTTACATCTCAAACAATGTGAAGCAACTCCTCAGAGGAATAAAATAACCAGTTCTGAATTACATGAATACATGGAAAAGCATTATTGTTTTATACAGGTATGAAATGGTCATAATTTGCCATTGCTGTTGGCATTTTCAGTTTCCTTTATTATATTTGCAAAGATATGAGATTAGACATCTTTAATATTTTACAGCAAAGGTTAGTGAGACTTTAATCTTGAGTTATAATTTTAGGTCTTTATATATGTCATAGGTAGTTTTGGAGAAAGAATTCCAGGTTACTAATTACATCTGGTGTTGAAAGTGTCAGCAGCAGTTAAGTGTCTCCAGGCATTAAATTACATATGTCTGAATTTAATAACTCTGGGGAGGAGAATTTATTGTGTTCTTCATAAAACATTGCAGAAATAGGATTAGATAATTGGCAATATATTGCAAATTGGGATAGAGAAAAGAATATCAGTAAAAAATAAGTATGTGAAAGTATTTGATGAGTTTGGAAGCTATTTTTGTATAAATACAGTTTTCAGGTTTAAATTAGTTAAAAAAAATTTTTTTTAACATTTATTCATTATTTTTGAGAGACAGAGACAACGAGAGCAAGGGAAGGACAGAGAGAGAGGGAGACACAGAATCCCAAGCAGGCTCCAGGCTCCGAGCTGTCAGCACAGAGCCTGACGCGGAGCTTGAACTCAACGAACCGTGAGGTCATGACCTGAGCCGAAGTCAGACGCTTAACCAACTGAGCCACCCACGTACCCCTAAATTCGTTTTTTAAATGTTGAAATGGGTTCAGTGAAGTGATCCAGTAGTTTGAGTGAAAATGTAGAAAGAAAGAAAAACTAATTCTTTCCATATTTTAAATGTGTCTGTGAGTCTTTAAAGCATTATATGTACCTTATCATGTTGCTGATGGTGGCAGATCATTAATAATAATGCTACACGAATTCTTTAGATTTGTAGTGTTTGCACAAGTGTTGGGAGGTACAGATGAACAGTTTTAATGTATCAGCTGCAAGTATTAGCGAAAGCAAACGAATAGTGGCTTAAGCAAGAACAAGACTTGCCTCGTGTGCCAGGCTGTAAGAACAGAGCCCAGCTCTTACCTGGCTTCCTCCCCCATCAGGCTCAGTGTGGGATTTTTGTCCTCATGACTGTAAGATGTCTAGTGCACCCCTAGGGATCCACCCTTCAAGGAAAAGGGTGAGGCCTAAAGCCTGCCGAAGGTACGTATCAGCCACGTTTTGTCCTTTTTTTTTTTTTTTTAATTTTTTTTTTTCAACGTTTATTTATTTTTGGGACAGAGAGAGACAGAGCATGAACGGGGGAGGGGCAGAGAGAGAGGAAGACACAGAATCAGAAACAGGCTCCAGGCTCCGAGCCATCAGCCCAGAGCCTGACGCGGGGCTCGAACTCCCGGACCGCGAGATCGTGACCTGGCTGAAGTCGGACGCTCAACCGACTGCGCCACCCAGGCGCCCCACGTTTTGTCCTTTTTAAATGCTTTCCTGGAAGCTCCTCCCAAGGACTTCCACTTAAATCTCATTGCTAGAACTGAGTCACGTGTTGTCCCCAGCAGCAGGGAAGTATGGCCAATCATTGTTTTTTAGCCTTTTAGAAGTAGAAGTCCAGGGTAAAGGGTTATGAATGTATTTTATGTGCCCAGTCCATAGTCTTACCATAAAAAAATATTCACATCTGTCTGAGGACTTTTTTTTTAAGGGAGTTTTTCTTATATTGGGATAGAAGTGCATAATTAAAAAGAATATGGGTCTCTTCCTGTTTTGATAGGGGCAGGGAATTAGAAAAGAACCTTCTGGGTCCCTGAAGGTACAATAGGATGGACAGAAGAGAGATATTGGAATGGTCACGTGTTCAGCATAAATAGAAGCACTTCATGTCTTCTATGGCGCAATATGCAGGTAACAGGGAACTGTGGTTGAAGGCATTAGGAGATGTCATGATATTTTAGATCTGCCTGAAAAATAAGAAGTAAGAAGTCCCTAAAGAGCATTCAGCTAACAGTTGGGGAGAATCCGTAAATGATCATTTGGAACTCTTAATCACAGTGAGTATGTTCCCTTCGGAGCAATGTGGTGTCAACGGGCAGCTTGTATTCGGTGGCTGCTGTGAGGAAGGCCTTAGACCGGGTCAGCCACACCCCAGGTTACGAAAGAGGATTTCGCCTCCTAGATTCTAGGCTTTATCTCTCTGTTTGACTTGGGTGGTACCTTTCCTCCTCTCCACTGCTACTTCCCAATCAAAACCTCATTTTTTTAAAGGATCTGATTTTGAAAGATCGGTCATATTAGGTCCCCTCAATTTTCTTTTTAAACACACCCTTATAATTAAAGAGACATTTGAGGAAATGATTCCTACTTTCAAAAAACTGTCAGTGTAAGAAAGGAGGCATAGGAACCAAATATGTAACATGAGTGTATGAAATACTTTTCTCATACACAAAGAGCCAAAGCTTTTTGCCTGTAGGATCTATACTTGTTGCGTTAAATCCCACTGCCCCTAACAAGAACTGAACCGAGTGGTAGTCTAATAACTAGAAGACAGTTTGGGAGTGGCGGTAGTGGAATCAGT